GGACTATGTACCCCTTCTAATGAAAAATCGACTAAGGGCAAGGTGGATGCAAATGTATGCAAAAATCCAAACAGAGAAGAACTGCTCCAAGTCACAGGCCTTATATGTAGGTTTTCTTGTAAAGATTGCAATGTAGCGTAGATTATGATTGTAGACTGTTTACGTTACTGAAGCAAGTACTACGCTGACAGATGCCAGCGGAGAAATCAGTGAAATCAGGTAAAAATCAGTCCTACTGTAATACACTCTATTGTTAATCAAAACAAAGTCGACAAAGTCCTTGTTTCGAATTGGCAGAATTAAATCTTTCCAAACCTTCTCAGCTTCCGAGAATCCTTAGATTATAAAAACGGTGGACAGAAATTGGTCGATCATAGACCATTACCCGTTGAGTACGCGGACTTACCCAAAAAAGGCCACTGCAGAATTTTTGGATATGTTCATATCCAAAAATTATTCCTAAATCAGAACAAATGATTTAATTGTGAGGAGGATATCTTCAAGAAGTTCTATGTATCTTTTGCTGTGCTTACTGTTGCTCTATGTTCTGACACCTCTATATTTGCATAGCTAAAATTCGCGATTATATTGGTTTGATTGCTCACGTTGGCCGGTTTTAGCTCAGTCGGCAGATTTGAACATGGAGGCGCCCCGATTGAAAGTACTTTTCTCACGAAATTGCCTTAAACTATTAGTCAATCGATACAACTCAAAACAATTAAGCAGTTTAGCCATCTTTTTCGACAGTGGGCCGCGAGGACGTACAGAAGAGATCCTCAACCGGATCCTTCGAATTGTGTGTGGGAAAAAGAGGTTGTCCTAGAAATTTACGTTGTTGCTTTCAGCCTTTATAACAGTACCATAAGTGGAAGAAAATAATGAGCATTGAAGTTTAGTTTTTCCGACTGATGAAAAATCTGGAGCGAAGGATCTGGAGTAGTAGGAGGACACTGCCATTACCTAAGCCAACGAGCAACAGCGGAGCAAACATTCACCTGGTACGTTTATACATCCCAGTTTGTAGAACTGCTCCAGCAAAGATCAATCTCTTTTTTTTTCAGGACGCTTTGAAGAACTACATGAAAATTGTCAACTACGATCCTTTCCAATGCTGTCCACTAATGGCCATTAACAGTGGAGGCAACACAGAGTATTCAAAATGCTTGAGAGCTCCAAGAGAAATTTTAGATCCTAAGGTACGTTGACTCATCCTGTGGACCTTTATACAGGTGATTATTCTTGCAGATTCTTGATCAGATGCACCTTCCTTCAGGAAGGAACGGAACAACTATGCAGGGAACTAGAAGGTCAGTAAATAAGGAACATCTTTGAAAGACTTGAAAACCTGACTGACGAGAGGCCTTAACGGACTAAATACTAGATACTAT